AAAAGCCACATTATTTTAATTTCTTAATGGCCACTGGTTAATGGCTAGATGTGGCTAGTGGCTACCATGTTGGACAGAAAAGCTCTGACCATATCTGACGATGAGGGTCTCTACCATGTGAACGTGGTTTTCTGGACCTAAAAGCTACTACATAGGCAACAAACTAAATGTGCTTTTGAAATTTAAATAGTATGGCTAGAATTTCAAACCTTCAGCACACAAAATGTCCTCCATGGAATATTACAATTTCATAAATTGTTGAAAATAACTTTCAAGAGCAGAAAATAGTCTGGTCTCTCATTACTGTTGTGAAGTCAAAGACAACCAGTTTATTGTACACAGTTTTGCTTAAGGTTGTCATTCATGTGAGTCCCTTGGGAAAGTGATGGCTGCAAATTAATTTTATTTATTGAAAATTGGGTTATTTCTTGCCAGCATGGGTTTCCACTACAACACTATTCCATCCCAGGCAGGTGTATAGGTTCACTGGTTACACGCTAATATCCTGGACAGTTATACCTCCCTTAGGTGCATCTGTGAGGTGTATGTATGGTCAGTGATAAATGAGTAACTACTAGACCTTCAACTGTCCAGATCATGTGTCTTTTATACCTCAGGTATAAAAAAAAAAAATCCATTTTTTTTTATACCTGAGGTCTGCCTTCTATATAGCTCAGAGAAATTGCTTTCATGGTATAAATTTCAAGATGAGCATGGTAAGGAGTGTGGTGCTACTGAAGACTAGTGAGGCAAGGTTTGCTTTTAGAAGCTACATTTTTTAATGGGATAAGATTTATTTTCAAGGACTCCTTTGCTGTCAACCACAAATCTTTCATTCTCTTTGTTTCTCTTCGATCTTTCCTTCCTTACTCAGACTTTTCTCCTTACCTGAGGAGTAAGCTGATAAAAAATGACAAAAGAAAAGATTTTATGTCCAAGAGATATTATCCATTTTATTTTAAAAAGCTAAAAGAAATGCATCTCTTTGTGAGATAGCTTGCTAGCAGACTTTTCTTGGATCACATCAAATTATACCCCATGCCAACTACAAAGCTGCCTTGGGTTAAAAACTAATCTTTTCTCATTATTACCCTCCCCAGAAGGGGCAATAGCAACTTTTTTGTTTTCAGTTGAAGTAAAATTCAAACGAAAGTTTTAGGTTTTGTGACAGATTCTTAGGGAAAGGTAGCATGAAGTCTGGGATGGTATTTGTAGACTGGATTTTCAAGGACTACTTATTTCCCCTTATTCTCAGGGTTAAATGAAAGTTAAATGTGTAGCAAAATGAGTGGGCAAGGATTGATTTCTCTTCTCTTGGGAACTTTCAAGTTGTTTTTCACGAGCACCCAGCCTCTTTTCCCTCATTGGGCCCAGATTTCATTCTCAGTGTATCTAAGCAGATGATGTAACATCTGTGCTCTCTCTTAAGAACGTGAGAAATCAAGTTGTTATTTTTTCTTTCCTATTTCCTCCCTTCTGGGAAATCCATTTAAAATTGCTCAGGCTTTCTTTTTCTTGTTTGCTTTAGAAGACAACTCACTGGAAAAGTCCTGTGGAAGTCTCCCACCTGTAGAAAAAGGTGATAGAAAAATTAGTCTGATTATGGAGTTGTCAACTCAGGTTTCCCTTCAGGCTGAGAAGATCACTCAGCTGGAAGAAGTTTTAGAGGAAAAGGAAAGGAAGATTCAGCAGCTGGAAGCTGAGCAGGCGTCCTCTATTTACCAAGAGGCTCAGGACTCACCAAAAGGAATATAAGAAGCTCTCAATGTCTTTAATGATAGCATCACTTCTGTGGTCCCTATTGAGACCATGTAAAGATTCACAGTAAGAAAACAATAAAATTTTATTATATTTCATCAAGGTAAAGTCTGGAATCTGAGTCATCTCCTCATTGGCCACGCTCAAGTTCAAGTTTATGGTTTCAAATGTATCCTATATTGTTCATATTGGAAGGGAACACTAACAAAACAAAAAGTGTTTAGAAGCAAACACTGTATACTTCCCCTTTAGACTGCAGTAGTCACATCATTTACACAGCTGTAAGAAAGCAGAAAATTATGTTTTTAGGCATTTGTGATGATAATGGGGGATTGAAAAATACCAAGTCAGATGGCGAAAGATCTTCTAGAGGTTTGTCTCACTGCAAAGGAGGAGTAGCATAAACCTCATTGTAGTACACAGCTCTGTTGTGAACAAAAAGACATCATAGAGGGCAAAGCTCATGCTGGGGAATATTAGAGTATTGAAGATGAGAATCAGGTCAACGAGAACATAGTCATGAGCTCTGTCCTTTTACATTCTCTGTGGTTTAATTATTTGTGGCAAGTATTTTATTAATAATTATCAAGGGGAGGCATGACATAACACCAAAGCAATAAGATAAAATAAAATAAACACAAAGAATGGATGAATCAGAGCTGTGGTCCTTTGGGAGAAGTATCCTGGGACAGTATCTCCTTGGGAAAACATGCAGCACTGATTTTTTTCCCTTAGGAGCAAGACTAAGACCAAAGCAAAATATACTTTTCTGCTATAACTGAGCAGCATGAAATAATGGCAGAATAAAGTGGGGGCTGATCAAGGGAAACCTACTCTGTAAGGAATGGAGGAGAGTGAATCATATAATATTCCTCTTCTCCCCTCCACCACTCCAATGGGAGTATTTTGTTGTTGTTGTTGTTGTTGTTGTTGTTGTTGTTGTTGTTGTTGTTGTTAAAGTGCCACAGAGTCTGTTTCAACTCATAACAACCCTGTATAGGGTTTCCAAGGAGCGGCTGGTAAGTTTGGTATGTTGTTGTTGTTAAGTACCGTGGAGTCAGTTCTGACTCACAGTGACCCTGGCACAAGGTTTCCGAGGCTGCAAATCTTTACAGGAGCAGAACGCCTCATCTTTCTCCCACAAAACAGCTGGTAGTTTTGAACTACTGACCTTGAGGTTAGCAGCCCAATTTGTAACCACTATCCTACCAGAGTTTGGTATAAAAGTACTGAATTTGAGGAAGTCATTGGTACTTAATACTTCTGCATCCAGAGCATGATTCAGGCAAACAACTCTCTTATGTGTCTGACTCTATCTCTACTTCTTAGTTTAATTCAACCAATTCAGCAAATACTGAAACTCTTCTAGAATAAGTGCTGGGACTATCTAGCAAACACAAGACTCACAACTTCAGGGACACATTAAAAATCATATTTTGTTTAAACATCCAGGGTTTATGTGGGGGTAGGAGGAGAGAAGAGTGTTATTGCACTCTTTAAATTTAATGGAAATTGAGCTGAGAGATGGGAAACAGAAGTGAGAAAGTGAGTGAACAATGGATAAACCCAATTAGCACTCTTTAGCAAAGGCATGTGAGATCCCTGACATGCATATTTTAGGAACTATGTTTTAGAGAACACCAGTTTGTTGTTGTTGTTAAGTACCATCAAGTCAGTTCCAATTCATAGCAACCCTGCATAGGGTTTCTGAGAAAAGGCTTGTAAGCTTGAACCACCAACCTTGTGGTTCAAACCAACCTTGCAATCCAGTACATTAACATATAGCACCACACCAATGGCTTGAACCAGAACTGTCAAACTTTTGCTCCTAGGCTAAGAGGCAAGGTCTAGAAACAGAATTACTCCTCACAAACCAAGGTGAGGTGTCATTTATAGTATTTAATCAATGTACAGTCTGACTATGAAACTTTACTATCTATGTAATAGAATATCCTAAGCCTTTATTTAAAAAAAAAAAAAAAGAGGAAGCAATTGAATTTTGGACTCAGACATGAATGACAACTTCATGATATTAAATCCAGAGGTTCAATAGGAAGAAAATACAGACTTTACCTGAGGGTTCTGTATTCAGAGAGAGAGTTTTCCTATATTTGTATAGAATCTCAGAATTCCACCTTCAACATTTGCAAGTATGCACAGTTGTAGTCCATTATCATAAATGAAACCAACTTATAAACTGTTTTTGATGAATGCATATCTAGCTCAGGAGGCAGTACACAGTGATTGTTTACTTTTACCATGGAGTCTTCATCCTCCTGTACAGCATCTACTTCAGAAATCCTTTCCCTATCTGGATCCTTCTTCTCTCTTCCCTAGTCTCTAATATCTCCTTGGTCTTTCCTATTCCCTTGTACCTTCAAGGTGTCCCAATTCCAGACTTCAAGACCTGAGTATTGCTCCTGGCACTGTAGTGGAGCTAGGGATAGACATGCCCTCATTGTACAGTTCTGAAAGAAAGCTTTAAATCTTAACGTTTGAGAAGAGATGATCTTGACAAAACTATCCTTTCCACAATTTTGATGTTTTAGTACAATAACCAAGTCTCCATATCTCTATTTTACAGAAGATCAAATTCCATGGGATACTGGGAGTGAAGTACATGAAAAATAGGAAGGAGAGAGAAAATCCCATCATACCCAGATATGAGAATGATAAATTCTATATCAATTTCCTCTGACTGATGCCCTGGCTAGCCTTCAGCATGAAAGTAGCCTTATAGTGAAGATAAAATAACAGGCAAAGCTGAAGCTGCTATTAATAATTAACTGCATCTGTCACCTCTAAATATCAAAGTAGCAGTCACTGAAGAAGAAAGCAACAAGGGTTGTATTATAGTGCAAAATCTTCTTTACAAGAAGCTCATCTTGACACTGGTCTAGGTTACCACCATATCTGAAGTGGGAAGGAGATTTGGCTTAAAGGTGAATAGACTAATCTCTCCTAGTGTCATCTTAGTAACAAGAATTCTTTAAATATCCAGGACTTAAGAAAGGAGAAGAGTGTTATTGGTCTTTGTGGAACTTCTAAGTGGAAAAATTCACATTCCCAACTGAATATTTATACCATTATATATCTCCCCACCCCAAAATTGAAGAATTGATGCATTTGAGTTATAGAATTGAAGGAGAATATTAAAAGTACCATGGACTGCCAAAAGAACAAATAAATCTGTGTTGGAAGACGTATAGCCAGAGTGCTCCCTGGATGCCAGGATGGCCAGATTTCATCTCTCATACATCCCACATATTGTCAAGAGGGACCAATACCTGAAGAAGGATACCATGTGGTAAAGTGGAGGGGGGTCGGAGAAAAAGAGGAAGACACCCAATGAGAAGGATTGGCACAGTGGCAGCAGCAATGGTCTCAAATGTAGCAGTGATAGTGAGGTTGGCACAAGAACAACCTCACAGTGTTTTGTTCTGTTTTGCACAGGGTCAGTATGAGTCAGTACCAACTTGATGACACCTAACAGCAATAACAATATGATCCCAAAGATCATTCCCATGTTCTGCCATTTCCCCAGAGAAGTGAATGTAAACTTCTAATTGTGCTAAATAAACACCCAGTTCAGACAAACAAAATATCAGACATTAAAAATCAAAGCCTCATTTTCTTAGGAGCAAGTTGCTAAATTGGTTTAGTGATCTTTAAAATATCTAGTGTAAATATCACATGGCAATTAATGTGCAGATGACCCTATTTCTTAGTGAACAATTAGCAAATAATTAGGTAATACATCTGATTAAAAAAAAAAAAAACAAAAACCTGCAAATCCAGATAATTAAACAAACTATCAGGATATTTTCTCTAATTTTTTGTTGTTAAGTGCATTGAATCGGTTCCAACTCATAGTGACCCTGTATAGGATTTCTGAAGCTTTTTAAAATCTTTATGGGAGCAGAAAGTCTAGTCCCTCTCCCACAGATTGGCTGGCAGTCTCGAACCGTAGATCTTGTAGGTTTCAGTATAGTTTTTATACTCTGGAGCCACCACACTCCCTTTTCTCTAATAGTCTTTAAAAAAAGTTTGCAGAAATATATGTATAGTTTTAATTCTCTTTAAGGGTAGTCACTAACTTTTCTCTGAGACAAAGTTAAATGGAATGTGTGACATGCCTAAACCATTTAAATCAATGTTGAATCTAACAAGTTAGAATTATTGTTTTGCCAATATGTTTCCAAACAATTTCATGGTTAGTTAAACAGACTAGACTAAAAATGTCAGTGAAAGCAAGTCATTGGAGAAACGGACCCAGAAACATGAAGGAGGTGCACTGACAGTCAATGAAATTCAACAAAAAAACATGCATTTCTGGAAAATAATTAACTCAAACCAGTGTTAATTAGCCTCTATATACCTCTTTGTTTACCCCAATATCAGGTCATTTTTTTCTACACTACACTGAACTTCTGGTGTGGTGCTGTGAGTTAATGCGCCAGACTGCAAAGCTGTTTGAACTGCAAGGTTGGCAGTTCAAGCTCACCAGCTGCTCCTCAGAAACCCTATCCAGGGTCACTATGGGTTGGAACCGACTTGATGGCACTTAACAACAACAACAACAACACACTGAAGTAAAGAACTTTTGCTTTAGTGCAGCCAGTGTTGGATTGCCTAATAAGCAAGACAAATACATGCTTACCTGTGTTTATGGATAATCTGCAGTGAACAATTTCACATTTTTTCACCACATCAAACACAGTATGTTCCTATAGAATCAAATTTATAATCCCTGACAGGGAGGAAGTAAGAATGATAAACATGGACTTTCTTGTGCTTACTTACTAATCTGTAGTAAACAGTTTCATGTGTTTTTCAACATATCAAAGTTACATGGATTATTGCTTCAAATATCAGTGGGTGTTCCAGGCCTAAATCAAAATAATATTCATCTGGCAATTATCAAAGAGAAAAGAAATACCACTTGCAGAGAAAAATAATATCACTTCAAAAGATGTAAGAAAATATTTTTGAGAGAC